CCGACGGCTTTTGAACATTTGATCAATTTGCAAAAATAAGCTTATTTTTCAGTTCTAACATTTGAGCGCAAAAAGTTTGCCAAAATTCCGACACAGAAGTATGGAAAGAACTTCTTAAGCAATGAGACAACAGCAACAACACTCACAACCAACACATCACATTAAACTGAAAAAAAAAAAACGAAAAATTAAATATAATATTTGCGAACCAACAAAAGTGATTAATTAGTTGTTTCAAAATCCATTTTTTGTGCGAATTTTCGAGTTTTGAATTTATCGTGAAACTCCTCTACACTTACTCATCTACATAAACTTGCGTGTGTATGTGTAATTCTTTCTTTTTTATTAGATCTTCATTTTTGGCTAAAATTGGGAACAAAAAAAAAAATTATTTTATAATTCACTCATCACTCACATTAGAAGTTACTCACACTCCTCTCTTATTAATGCTTTCATACCTCCGCTCTTACACTCTATCACATCTGAAGCCCCAAGGAGGCTCCCTTTTATAAAGTGAAAAAAACAGGTGTCTGTGTGTGCTTTTGTTTTTTCTTTAATTGTTTTATTTCATGTTTTATAACATGTGTGAGAGAATTTAGCAAAATTTTGCGGAGAATTGGCAATCTTTAATTCTCAGAGTATTTGCAGACTAAATAGATTTTAATTAAACAGTTTAACGTGAGTATATGTTTTTTGCACACGTTTTATTTGAGGTGATGTCATGTTTGAGTACATTTTTTAAAATTGAAATTTTTTTGCCAAGTTTTGTCACAGAGTAATTTGCAATTTTAATTTTTTTGCAAGCTTCTCTTAAGAAAAATTTAAGAGCAAAACATGTTTAGCAACATTTGAAATGTTTCCTTGTTTTTTTGTGTGTATATACATTGTTGATAGTGTAAATAAGAAATATTTTAACAATGTGTGGTAAAATACAGAATAATTTATTTGTAAGAAGTTTGGAAAATTTGTGAACTTGGAAGCCACACAATGAAAATAATAATCGATACTCTGGATTTCTTTTTTTTTTGGGAATATCTCGATTGTAATCTCAACAATATTGGAACGATTATTGCTGAAGCAGCCCTAAAATAATCGATCAATTTGTACAATTAGAGCAGAGATTTGGAAAACGCAGAATTGGTTCACGATCGAGATGTGAAAACAAGAAAGGCACAATGCTAATATGAAAAAGTTAAGATTAGGTATCCAGAAGACTGATCATAGATATGTATATATTTTCGGTAATGTATTTTCATAACATTCGTATTTTGGAGGATCACGATCGTTCAAATTATACCTTGAGTAATGGAGTTATGCCACAAGAATATGTCATAAAAATAAAAACCGTCGACCTATTTATAACAAGAAATGGAGAAGGCATTGCAGATCACATTTATCTTTTCATGAGAGATTCTAATAGGTTTAGTATGACTATCTTATTGAGTTGCAATATCAACTATCTTATTCCATTCGAAACTTTTAAGAGATCGCATTTTTTCAAATTTCCTCACACTTCATTTTTGTACACAAATTTTACCAAGATCACGATCATACAGTTTCCAACAATGAGACACGAAACATTTTCATATTAGCAAAATCAATATAAACTGGTTACCGTCAGTTATGACTTTCTCTCATATTTCTGGCTACATATGTATGGATTTCGAGGCGAAAGAATATTAAATTTCGCATGAAGAGAAGTATTTTTCAGTAAAAGCTTTTTACACCGATCGAAACAAATAGCAGTAAGACGCGACAAGGTGTGGACTATAAAGGAGCATTACCATGATACAAGTACATATTACAGAGTTTCGGACGTTTTCTTGTCCCGGTCAAGGGGAAAAGAAGTGCTACCAGTAGCTCTAGTCTGCCAGGACTATAAACTGGTGGTGTGAAATGTATCCATGTTGTCAACATTACATAGTGTTGTCGTACGTATGTATATGCTTTGACAACGGATGGTATAGAAAAATTATAAACAGTTTGATGTCAATTTGGTACCAGGCATATTTCTTCTTTCTGTATATTTCTTTTTGCCTCTATGTAGGTGTTGTTGCCGGATCAACAGAGTCCATCTCATCTGCTTGGAATTGACGTGTTTGCATCTCGGAAGTTTTGCAGCGGGACAACAATGGTCAAAATGTTTGAAGTAGTCGGAAGTTCCAACATTCAGAAAACTTCATACAACCAAACGGGCCTCATTATAAATGATCACGCAATAACTACGGTTAGTTACAATGGAAAAAAAACTTAACGAAGTCAAGAAGACTTCATATTTCTGAAAATTGGAATATTGTTAAATTAGGAAAACTAACATGCAGATATGTAATTTTAAACCTAGAAAGCCTCCGTCGTTTAACAATTCCAAAAATTATCACTCAAGTCGAAATGATTTCTTCTAAATATTATTTTTAATTTGGCTGCAAATAGTTTTCCAACATGTTGCCAACTTTCTGCACTAAAAACTCTCTTACTAGCTTAGCACCATTAAAACAAGCTCAAATCTCTTATAAACACTTTTCGGCAGATTTTTACTAATTAGTTTTGTTAAAACTTTAAAGAGTACAAATCCTTTGAAAATCCTTTTTTCCTTTCATAAGTTATTTCCTCAATTAACCAATTTAAGAGAATTTAGAAAAATATTCTGCACACTAAAGAGAAATTAAACTTAAATTCATTTTGCAGATAAAAGAGTAATTGTGCTAATAGTTTTTGCAACAGCTTTTGGTGAAAGAGATGAATTAAATTACAAAAAAAAGTAGTGCGTTTTTTAATTGTTTTTTCCATGGAGCTGAGGAGTAAGCTATTATTGAGATTTTATCTGATGGAAGAGAGAGGAGTGTAAGTGTATTTTTGAGTGCAATTTTTTTCTTGTGCATATTTAATGATAATTGAGCAGTCATGTAATGAAAACGAAAAAAAAAAGCTAAAATTATTATTAAATGTTAAGGAGAGCCATATTTGCACTCAATGCTCTGTTTTGTTTTTGTGTGAAACAGGAAGGAACACACTTGGCTCATACTAAGCCATATTGGATAAATTTTACTACTACTATGATTACCCAACGCTACAACTACTACTACTGCTGATGACTATTTTGTAGGCAGACCAAAAACATTCTGTTGTGTGTGTTTTTTTTTTTTTTTTTTACGAGCGAGGGCCAACAATTCCAAAAGCATTGTTTTGAAGAGTGTAAAAAGAGTAAGTACAATCAACCAAACAAACCAATATACTAACCATACCACTGTTTTCTGAGTCTAGTAGTGTTGAGTATATATCCAATACATCCAGTCAGTTAGCTATTCATCCATCCATTTATACATCTATCTATCCAAGAGTCCGTCCGTCATCGACATCGTCACAGTCGTTGTCGCTTTAGTCGTTTTAGTCGACACTATCCATATTCGCAAATATTCAACCATCCATCCATCCAACCATTCGAACTTGTGAGTGCTTTTTTTCGGTTTGTTTTTTACTTTTGTTGCCTGTTGTATTATTGCTGCTGCTGCTGCTACTACTACAACATTTTGTATATTGTTGTTGCTGTTTGTTGTATGGACTCTACAACAACAACTACTACTACTGCCATTGCTGCTGTTATTGTTATTTTTGTTGTTTGGCTATAGACTGACTACCACTGTACTATGACAGTTTGTATGCGATTTACTAGCATTTTGGCATAGAGTGCGGCTAGAATTCACTCGTCTCACACAACGAATTTAGCTGCGCTTGCAACAACGCAACTTTACGGGTTCGCTCGCACACCGGGGCCTACTACTACTACAACTATTATATATAAAAAGATAACCAACAACTACTATTACGTTTAAGCTACAAAAAAAAAAAAAGAAAATATAACGAAAACAAAGTAAAGAATAGAAATTTTACATACAACCCATACGGAAGAAAGAATACAACATTATTTTTAATTAAAAAAAAAAAAAGAAACACTCGATAAAAAAGTGACCCTTAAAGGAACGTGTTAAAACGGGATACGTAACTTTTTTTGTTGTTGTTGTCATCAGCATCAGTGTCATCTTTATTATGTGGCCAAACTCTACTTGCCACATTATCAGCAGCATCTGTAGCATAAGCAGCAGCGGCAGCAGCTCATAATTTTATGGCAAAAACATATGAAAATTAAAAAAAAGAAAAAAAAACCCAAACAAATAGCAAATATAGTGTTTATATTTTCTGCTTTACTACTAAAAGTGGCAAGACACGTTGTGTTGCAAGAAAAGAAAATTAAGAAAAAAAAAAACAAATATTCAAATTCAAAAAGATTTTGCGCCACCAAAGTGTTGAAAGCAAAAAAAAAAACTTGTGTTGTCGTAAATTTGCGCGGCTTCTTCGTATAATTCTTATAATGTTGTGTTGTTCTTAGTGTGAGTGTGTGTGGCATAAGGATTACAAACAACTTTTTCTAAACAACAACCATCCATCATAGAAAAAAAGAGAGTGTTAGCCAAAATTCTAATTTTTGTTCTACTCATAGCTGTTCCTTTTTCTTTCCTTAAACATCAGTCAGTCATTCAGTCAAATGCAAATATTCATTCATTCAGCCTGCTGACTGCTGCGTCTATTTTTTTTTTGTGGTTTGGTCTTCGTTTTAGACCAACTTTAGGAAAAAAAAAAACACCAACTCACACGAAATAGAAAAATAAATAAAAAAAAAAAACTAAACGTATGTGTGCAATTTGCATTTGATTTTCATTATTATTGTTGTTTGAATTTTGTTGCGAGACTACTGGCACAAACAACAACAGCACAGCAGCAGCAGCAATAGAAGCAAGCAACATCTAAAAACCATAACAGTGCCACACGTAGACGCACGTAGACGTATATAACGGATGCATAGAGACACCATAAACATAATATTCAAACCAAAACAAAAAATTAACGCGATTTTAAAACTTGAAAAAAATCGAAATTAAATAACTTAAGCTTAACAAAAATTATTAAAAAAATATAAAAATCTAGTGTTATTAAAAATAAATATATGTAAAAAAATTTTTTAAAATTTCTTAAAACAAGAAATTATTCGAAAAATATAAATAAATTGTGTATACTTAACGAAAACAACAAAAAAAACAAATTTAAGAATTAAAAAAAAGTTTTGAAAAAAATACCATAAATAAATCATTTAAACGAATTTGTGTATTAAAAAAAAGCTAAAGGTAAATTTGAATTTATCTTAAATATTAAAATAAACCCAAAAAATTAAGTGACAAATTTTAGTGAAACTTTCATTTGCGGAAAATTGCATAAAACTACAAATTGTAAGTTTAATTTTTTTTTACAGAATTGACTATCGTTACTAATTTTTGTTATAAATACAAGTTAAAAAAAAAAATGATAATTGTAGGATATTTGTTGAATTTCTTCAAAGTTAACAAAGTGTGTTTCAGACAACATTTTCTAACCCAAACTGTTTGTAATTATTTCAGGTTTTTTTTGAGAATGATTTGCTTCTAAATTATCTCTAGACTCTCGACCTATGTGTTCTAGTCTATCTGTGTTTGATTTCCACCAGAGACATTCACTGTTAAATGAGTTTTTGAGATCGAAATATGAATTTTTAACAAAATCTATATAATCGATAAACTCAAGAACCACTACACCTAAAAGGATCAAAATTCAAATATGTATGCAAGGGGTTATGAGGAGTGTTCCTGTTAAGTTTAAAAACTAGATGGTAGCGTAGTATTAAATATATAGAGTCCAAATGTCCAGTCAATGGTCTGCCATCCCGACTGGACACCATTAGTTTGTAATCAACGAGGAAAACTATAATATAAAAATGCATGTTTTTTACACATTTCACAACAATTGAAAATGTGTTCATATTTTACCCATGACAGCATAATTTTGCATTATTTTCATTTTAATCGAAAATTTAAAGCAAGTTTCGAGTTTTTATAGCATATTTTTCTCTTTTAATGAGGCTATTATGCGTTTGTGCTTATGTTTTTAACACCCAAAAATATTGGTCCTACACCCATCTTAAAGTCTCTTCTTTTGATACAAGGATGAATATGATTAAAATCAGTCCATTATTTCGCATAGCCACCATAAAATCGTACCCTCCTAATAGGGGTTTTGAGCTCATAAAATAGTTCTTGTATCATGTATCTCTCGAAAAATCGACAAAACTTAGTCTTAATCATACAGCTGATTTTAGTTATGATCACCTTTCAGAAAATGACTTGATGATCAAAATTCACTTATAAACACTAATATCGCTATGATATTCAGAAATTCACAAAAATAATAAAATTTAATTTAAAATTTTAAACGAAGGTCGCAATATGTATGTACATTGAATTTTCTGTACGATTTAATCTCAAATTCAAAATTGAATTGATATAAAAATAAGCTTGATTTATGAATGTTAAAGATTGAGTTAATCCCAAGATGTGCATGATTTGAGTACGAATCGTATTTGATTTCAGAAATCAGAATATTTCCGTAAAACACACATCCATTGTCAAAAATTCAACTATTTATTGCAAAAATATTCTTAACAAAATGAGAATTATATGTTATAATGCTAATGAAGATATAATTTTAATTAAGTATTAATTAAATGGGATTAAATTAAGTAAAAAAAAGAAGATTAACTAAAGTAAGAAATCAAATTAAAAAATATTTCAGTATAGCGCACTTAAAACTGGGTTTAACTGGGTTGTTTAATCTCTCCCGATATGTGCTTATTTTTACCCAATTTGTCTAAAACATTATACGATATTTTGCGTAAAACACCTAGGTAAAAATAAAATGGCGGATGAAGAGGCAAAAATTAGAAACATGGCAACAACTATAAATACTCGGACTCTATAAATTTTAGTAATTCAAACAGAGGAATTATTTTTTCTAAATTGTATGTCAAATATTAATCATAGAATATCTATCTTTGATTTTAATGAAAATACATATTTTATACCCTACACCACTTTAGTGGGGAGGGAATATTGGGTTTGTGATGATGTTTGTAACGCACAGTAATATTGGTCCTATATCCACCTTAAAGTATACCAATCGGCTTAGAATTATTTTCTGATTTAGCTCTGTCCGTCCGTCCATGTAAACCTTGTAATCAAACTACAGGTCGCAATTTTCAAGATAATTTAATGAAATTTGGTACATGATCTTCTATTGTCCCAGGAACGAAGCCTATTGAAAATGGTTAAGATCGGTCCATTATTTCACCTAGCCCCCATACAGCTGAACCCCTGAACAGGGCTTGTAAACGTTGTAATCAAACTACAGGTCGCAATTTTGATGATAGTTCAATGAAATTTGGCACATGATCTTCTATGGTACCGGAGACAAAGCCTATTGAAAATGGTTAACATCGGTCCATTATTTCACCTAGCCCCCAACCCCACGAATATTGCTTTTAAATTCATAATTATATTTAATATACTCGTATCTCTACAAAAAGCTGCAAAACCAAGTGCTATACTAGCCTTGATGGCTCTCATGAATTTTATAATTATAGGGTCTCATTTGACCATAGCACCTATACAAATCCCTCTTCGAAATTTGATTTAATGTCCACAATTTTATTCAACAATAAATGGCTTAAGTATTTCTGAGGCAAGGTACAATTCAACTACAATGCTTTATTATAAAAACAAAATCACATTTCATTTTTGTAACAGGTGTAGGGTATTATATGGTCGGTCTCGACCGACTATAATTTCTTACTTGCTTTAATATACATTTTGTACAAAACTAATTTTATTTCTAAATGCAAAGCCCTCTTTCTTTGCAAAATTATGATTTAAAATTGGAGTATTTGAAATAAATTTCAGTTGTAAAATTAGTAATTTATATATGTTATTTATAATCCATCAATATAATTGAAACTAACGGGATAATTATAGATATATCAGCCATTTCGATAAGAATTTCTTGAGGTTTATATTAATATTTAGGAGTTTTTTTTTTAAGAACTTTGATTTCCCCAAAAAGTTTTCTCGGTACAAAATGAAGATTTTCAAGAAAAAATTTAAGATTTTCAAGATTTTGTAACGCACAGTAATATTGGTCCTATATCCACCTTAAAGTATACCAATCGGCTTAGAATCATTTTCTGATTTAGCTCTGTCCGTCCGTCCATGTAAACCTTGTAATCAAACTACAGGTCGCATTTTTTAAGATAATTCAATGAAATTTGGTACATGATCTTCTATTGTCTCAGTCCATTATCGGTCCATTATTTCACCTAGCCGCCATACAACTGGACCCCCGAAAAGGGCTTGTAAACCTTGTAATCAAAGTACAGGTCGAAATTTTGAAGATAATTCAATGAAATTTTGCACATGATCTTCTATTATACTAGAGACGAATCCTATTAAAAATGGGTAGCATCGGTCCAATATTGGACCTAGCCTCCATACAACTGAACCCCCCCCGAATAGGGCCTTTAAGTTCATAATTATGTTCAATATACTCGTATCTCGACAAAAAGCTGCAAAACCAAGTTCTATACTATCCTTTTGCTCGTTTATGACCCTAATGTTTTCCCCATTAGAACATTATTGGCTACCACGTAGTAATATATTCTAATTTTGGTTATAATCCTAGTTCTGGTGAAAAAAACATATTCTGGTGAAAAAAAAAAACAAATCTCCATTATATTGAACCAATAAGTGACATATGTGTCTGTGAATTGGCCTTCCGTTGTGTCGATTTGAATTTGTCACGAAGCAACTATCATCTGAAGAATCTTTAAAGAAGAATTGAAAATTTCGTTATTATTTCGACTTATTAAAATCAAGTTTAAAATACTTGCGTATACTGAGTATTCTTTTTTTTTTTGAGTCAAAGTGATCTAACAATGTTCTTATTTTAAACTCGTACTTGATTTCAGAATTCAAAAAATCTTCAATACAAATAAATTGTTATAAATATATTGATATCATTCGACAAGAACTATTTTTGCAAAAATATTCTTATCTTAATGGGAATTATAATGCGACTGAACGATTTTTTTTAATTATGCACAAAAAATGGATTGAAATCTGGGAAGCGATTTTTTTTCGGAGAACCATGTGAGAGGCTTTCGCATTTTTTCAATTGTTTAATGTCTACTATTGGGCACCTAGAAGGTTTCTCCATTTTCTGTGAATTCCAGTAAACCACTTTGGTTATTATTGAAATTACTAGTCCATCGCATTAATCGGTACACAGAATTCTCTTATTAAGGTAAGGTATTTGTTTGTGCTTCAGTTTCGTCTTCAGTACCGCCGGAGGTAGGTGTTTGTGGATTTCTTTTCGTATTTGCAGTATTTTAAACGATAGTAGAGTGTTCAAAAATACGATCTTTAGCTTCCTTTTTTAATGTGTAATAGAAGTATAAAATTATATATTAAACTGTCAAGTCCAGGTGCAGACATTTATTTGGGTACCTTCATTTCGAGAAGAGTTTTTGAGTGAAGAGTTTCCATCTTAAACAACACCAGAAAAATAGTGGGCGATATCTCGAAAACTATTAGGTCGATTTTAAATATTTTGAAAAATATTCATAGTTTGGCATTCGGAAATTATTCTTCCCATCATTTTTGGACGAAATGGTGCACTGACGCTTAAAGTCTGACATGTCTAGGTGTTCCTGTGTGTTTTTTAATTATTTTTTTTTACAAGAGTCCAACACTTTTTCACAGACCAAAGTTCTGGACCATTTTGTCGATTTGCCTATCGTGGTATAACATTTTCGTTATCCCAGCATGTATTACTTTCCAATGGGAACTGCTTACCGTCTGCATTACTTATAAGTACTATAGCATAGACTTTCTTTTAATCTTATATAGAAGTACCTTATTTCGGTTTGCACATTTCATTTGATTACAAGTTAGTTACAAAAAAGAAAACAAAATTAAATTTATTATTAATAACAAAACAACTTAATCAACAACTTCTTTGTAAGCGAAACTGCGGGGACTTCTTTAACTCCTTATTTGTAAGCAAGCGTGTTAAACACTTGCCTCCAATGTCATCACCGTGTTAAAATATGAAGAAGTAGTGAATAGAGATTTTATTAGCTTTATCCTGCGATTGCTTAAATACCACTTAGGAGCCTTTTTCCCTTAGTGACATGTTGCCAAATCCGTCCAGAAATATGAAGACACTCTGAGCTGTTTAAAGATAGGTAAACACCCTTATTTTTAGACACTTCATAACATATATTTCTATGTTTATTGATCATTATTTCACACATGATTGGCTTCTTTTACCACAACTGCAAATGACTTGCCACATCTTGTGGAAGTTT